CTATGTTTTTTGTCTCAAGGCTTTCTGCTGGGTAGAATTTTAAATTGGAACAATGGTTCAAAGGCTGAGAGACAAACTGCTCATTACTGGAAAGAGTGCCAGGCATCCTGGGAAGCAGACCTTGCTCCCTACCGGAGCACTGCACCTCAGAGTAATGGCTTCTTTCATAGTCATGGGAAGATTAGATTAGTGTTTCTTTTTATTCCTGTCTTCTTTCAGGAACTGCTGGGATAAAAGAGAGCCTAGGAGAATAAAAAATTCACAAACAGGACAAGAGTAAAATATTTGGGGCAAGAGATCAGAAATCTTTTGGTTATTCAGTGAACTGAACTAACTCTACTTAAAAAAATAAAAAGTATAAGGAAATCAATGTCCATCAAACTCCACGTCACAGTGGGTATTGGCCTTTCGACCCCTCCTACAGATCTAAGCTAGGTTGTCATGCCTAGTAAGTGGAAGTAAGAGAGACTCAGACTAACCCAATGGAGTTAAAATGGTGCTAAAATGGAGTTTTGTCATCATTCATTTCATTCCCAATGTTTATTATATCTTTATTCTGAGAAACATTTTCCCTCACTTCTCATCCCAAAATCCAATCAGTGATGATTGGGAGGAATGGAAAGGTTATTCGATGCTATAGAAAAAACCCAGTTGCTTTGGAGGGGCAGTTTAAGCTTTCCATCATTAGTTCTTTTCCCCAAGTACAGTGGATGGTTTCTGAAGAAGACAGGTTTAAAGCGACATGGTTGAGAAGTACTGTATTAAAATGTATCATCTTAAAAAAAATAAATAAATAAAATAAAATAAAATGTATCATCTTTATTCCCTATTAATGGGATCTTCTTGGAGTACTTGTCAGAAAGCACTTTAAACATCTGGCTTTTACATGGCAGTCAAAAAAATTTCCAGACCTGAGCTAAGGTTAATTTGATCAAGAGACCAAGTCCTTCCCAGAGTGGTCAAGAAATGGTTAGGTACTAAAACTATGGCTTCATTTCTAGTTGTACTGCATCTTATTTAGTTGTGTCATAACTCTATCCCCTATCTCGGTAATGGGAAGGCTCTTGTTAAGGACCTATCAATGAGCATGGCTTAAGAAACATTCTATGCCCAAGCAATTCAGGCTAAAAATAACTCTGGGCTTTTTTTTTTTTTTTCTTTACTCATCCACAGAAAGCATTTGTATGTCAACAAGAACTTTGCTCCTTGTGTTTTCACTCCTGCTTACTCCTCCCTGAAAATAGAGTCGTTTGACACAATTGGGAAAGTCACAGGGTTGGTGAGACATACAAAGGAACAAAACTATGCTGGTGGAACAAAGCTTTGCCACTGCCAAGTGTCCAGAGAATAACAGAAGAATAAAAGAACCCAATATTCACAGAGAGAAAAATTTGAAAATTCTCCCCTCCCCTTTCTTACAAATATATACAATTCTTTGACCACAGTATATTTAATTTATATACAGAATTCACTTCTACATCAACAATTGAGTGCTTACTAGGTATGAGGTACTTTTCTAAGAGCATTAACTAATTAATTTTCACAACCCTATGAGATAGGTACAATTATCCCAATTTCACAATTTTAAAAACTGAGGCACAAAGAGATGAAGTAACTTGTCCAGGATCCCATAGCTGAGGGGCAGAGCCAAGATACAAAACCCCAGGCAGTGTGCCTCCAGAGCCCATGCTCTAACGATTAACCTATACTGCTTCTGCAACAATTCTGCAGCAAAAAAAGATAATGATCTTTTCTAATTTCCCACAAAAGCTTTATCCCCCTATCAAATATGCCAATTTACGTTCTTTAAATTAAGCACATGGTCCCATGGTTCACCTTAATATGAAGCCAAGAATCAACAGGAACTTTTACCTCATCCAAAACATATCAGCTCTCTTAAATACACCAAATATTACCACCTCTCAAATATAAAAATGGATTGAGATAGCTGTTCAAGCATAATAATTACTTTCTAGTAACAGGAAATGTTTGCGGAATTCAGGCCCTAGACACCTTCTTCAGTTTAAGCACTCAGCCCTCAATGGATCTTCGGTGGCTATAACAAAACTTAAGTAGCTAATCTCTGAAAGAAAAACAAGTCAATTTAACAAGACCCTAATTAGAATGTTTAGTTCTGTGACTATATTATGATGAAACATAAAGTAGAAAGTTCCTTATGCTTGGGCCGGCCCGCACTCTCTCTCTCACTCGGGAGAGTGCGGTGCTGATAACACCAAGGCCCCGGGTTCGGATCCCATATATGG